CAGACATGCATAGGATACACATTCCATGATATCTCACATGTCTGCCTTCTGTGACGCGATGGAGGTATCCTTCTCATGCTTCCTGCAGTCATTCTCATATGAGCAAGAACGGGAAGCAATAGGAAAGCCACCCTCAGCAACTCTAACGGAACTCGAAGACGTCCAAGGCTCTAATATCAAGAGAACTTATGGACCCACGCAGCCAGCACGTACATCAAGGGAAGGCGCGGGATACGCCGTCGACATGATGGTGCCGTATGCTGTTGTGAGTATATATAATGTGAATGTGTTCGAATCATTTCGGTATTACAGCGCTCTTCATGATCATGCCCAATAGCACCAACGGCAGCCATGCCCTCCCTCCTGGCGTCATTAATCCGGAAACACCATTTGCGTATTTGACTCCAACTCTGGCGGAGCAATTCGAGTCCACTAGACACATTAATGTCGCCGCTCTTAGTGTCAGTACTCGCCCTTTTCTCGACGTGTGGAGCCTGACCTAGGTTTTTTGAATTTTGACTCTGCATAGGCCTGGATATGGGACACGATTGTGTCAACGCCACAGGACTATGCGCTCCTGTTCAAGCATAAGATAAATTTACCGACGGCCGTCTATTTCCTCTCAAAGTCAGTTTCATCCTGCCCTTGTACCTCCTTTCTTGACGGGACCCAAGAATATTTTCTCTCGCTTATATAACAACGTCCACGATATTCGTAGGTAAATAAAGCCTCTACTAATCGCATGCCTTGGGGTCACTGACAACCCTGAGTCACCTAGTATCACCCGTCGGGTCGTGCCAAGCCTTGCAAGTAGCTTTGGGCATATGCTACATCTTTGCCGTCTCTTCGTCGTCGCTGCTGTTCATTTTTCGTGTCCGAGCAGTGTTCCACTTCCAACCAATGGTTGTCTACCTGTTCTACTTTCTATGGGTTGCTGTCCTGGGATCCGCCATGATAATTCCGTTTTCGATCGCCGGAACGCATATAGGGCCGACAAGGATGTGTATCAATACAGAGGTCAAGCCCTATACCTCTGCCGCAGTCATCATCAACGGTGTCAACGATACCTTAGTGTTCCTGGCAATCTCATGGTGTTTATTGACTATGAATCTTGTGGATTAGTCATCGTCCGCGCGTGTCAGATCATTCGTACTACATGGTAGAGGCTTCTCAAGGCTGACCGGGACCCTGCTCCATGGAGGCCAGCTCTATTATCTGTCAGCACTTATTGGTACTCGCTACCAGAATTCACAGTTAATACTACATTGTAGGGCGACGGTTGGCGTGAATATATTGACCATCGTCATGGTCCTAACACCCTTAGTCCCACCCTTCTATTGTGCTGTCTTCACTATACTGAACATTGCGCGGGACAACTCACAAGGGCACTCTGTATATGCTGAAGATGCCTTACTGGTTTCTCGCATGAATCTGAAGCCGGGTGGGAAGCAAGCACATCTGCGAGACGGCTGGTTCATGCAAAATGGAGAGAAATTTGCTCGAAAGATGATCTTCCCGGCTGACCACCCTGAGTTCCCATATGTGCTGAAAGGAATGAAACAGGTCCTATCGGAGTGCGGGCTTTGGACGGGTGACCTCTGCATGAAGTGTCCCAAGGGCTGTGACTGCAACACCACACAATGTTGTGCAAAACACATCCTGGAACTGCAGGTCGACTTCAAGGTGCAAAACTCACTCGTGCAAGAGGTCATCAAGCATCGAGGACACCTGTGCATATTCTTACCAAAGTTAAACTGCGAACTCAATCCCATTGAGTTCTTCTGGGGAGCCGTGAAGAAGTATCTGTGAGAGAACTGTGATTATACCTTCGACACTCTGAAGGAAAACCTTCCATCAGGAAAAACCTCCGGCGCAAATCAGATATAATTAAGCACTAATCTTGTCAAAGGGTGCATGATGGAGATAATCAACATAACCTGTCTAAATTATATGCAGTATCAATAATTAGTTGTTATGTGTTCTTACTCAGATACAACTTAAGTTCAATTGGGCTGGAGAAGCAAAGAGATTGAATGGTACGTGCCTTGGTGCCGCATGCGAGACTATGGAAGTGTGTCTGCACCGCTGACTTGGCTTACTGCATGTTCAGGTACCACAGCAGCACTTGCAAGGGCGTCAGGTGGATGAAGAAATATGTGAACAATAGAGCCTTAGAGTCAGACAAGCATAGAAACTGTTACTTAAAGACGCGCTCGAGTCCGTGCATGATGCATCGTGGGGCGCGCGTCTAGCACGTGACTGTGTTGAACCCGCGTTTGCCCCTCCTTTGGGAGGGGTTCTGGCACCCTTGAATTGCATTGCACTTTTCGTCGCACCGGCAAAATCCGGCGTGCTATGTTTGGTCCTAGTGGCGCCACTACTGAACAAGGACTTGGCACTTCGGGAGTTGCAGTATTTAGGGCCGGGCAGAAGATTGTACGAAAGGTAATTTCCAGCCAATTAGAGCCCGCGGAATTCCCTTTCGTACAATCTTTTGCCCGCCCCTAAAGACTGCAACTCCCGCAGTGTGGCCATGGTCGGGAATCCATCTCAATGTTCATACTTAAGTCCCGCTCAACTATGTAATTAGTGTTGGTTTGTGGATGCCACCAGGTACAGATGAAGGCCTATTGTGAGCTAGAACTTAGAGCTACAGGGAGTGCACAGTATTAAGCATAGATCCTTGTACCTCAGAATTTTTGAGTGTTGTATGTCATGGCTTGAGAAGGATTTGAGTGTATGTGCACTCCATCTAACATGGGTATTCAATCATTCAAGTTTTCTGGGTCTCCATGCCATATGTAAGTCTGTGATGGACAAATTACAAATAAGTAGAAAATCCATGTCATTCCATGGCTTATGAGGCTGAACAGACTGTAAGATAAAACTATGATGTGAAGTGGATGCCAGATGTCCAGGCAACAGACATGCACCATTAGGCATTCTTGGAGAGTGGGTAAGTATCTCTTAGACTACTTAGGAGACAACAGCACAGGGCATTCTACCTGGCCCTAGATGGAGCTTGAATGAAAGAGAACCGGGGAAAACTTAGGTCCCCTATATTACTAACAATATCCTTTGTATTATGGTAGAAATAGTCTCCTTACGATGATTTGTCGACCCCCTGTAGCAGCCGGAACATTTTGAACTTAGTGCAAGTTCTCAAGGTCGATTTCTTGAACAAAGGAGGGGTAAGTTGCCGGTGCCAGACGGCGCTTCACGAGTTACAGCTCCGCTTCAATTTACAAACTCGCGTCCGAACACTTCACTTCTTCCTCACGGTCTCACCTTCCCCTCGTCAACAAAGATGCATCCCACCGACTTCTACGATAAGTAGCGGCTTTTAGGAGTGGCTGTATATGGTTCCTGAGGGGGAGTTTGGCTCGCATCGGCAGGTCTCAGTGGTCATCGGTGTCTTGCACGTTGGCACCCACAACGGTTGTACTGGCATTGGTGAGTAATGTAGTCCTTATCAGCGGGTCAATTCCTCCTTCAAGGGAGTATCCAGTTTGTTGTGTTTGCTGGTGCATCGGGGATGTGACTGAATGCCGAATCATGCTCCCTTCTAGCCCCTGTCTGCCTCGTGAATCTTTTGGTATCCTCCAAGTGTGGTTGTCATGCTTACCACGACCTTTGTAGCTTGAGTGTCTTTGAGTATGATATTGCTCCTTGTTTAATCAGAGTTCAGGTGAGTGCTGTGTGTTGGAATGGAAAGTTGAGTGTCCCTCATGCTGAGGAATGATCTTTCTAGCCATTTGCAATGGGTCTTGTTCCCAGGTGATGTATAGTATTTGTCTATATCTATGCATAGCCATGCTGAGACATCTGCCGCTCACTCAGGAGCATGCGCAGCACTCGTTGCGCAGACCAAGAAGGCGGGCGGGGAGACGGACAACGAGGAGCGGGCCGAGGGCGAGACGGAGTCGATGCTCAAGCTCGCGGGGCACCTCTTCGCTCACTGCCGCCGGTTCCTGGCCGTCGTGGCCCAGTGCGGGTGCCCATGCCTGACAGAAGAAGTTCGGGGTCGGACCAGAGCTTGCTGTCCGAGGGTGACGAGTCGGAGGATAGGGGTAAGCCAGCAAGCACGACGATCGGGATTGTCTAGACTGCAGATGCGCCAGAGAGAGGCGACGGCGATGCCCCACGTGGCGAGGGGTATGGGTGACCTGCGCACGCCCAGGCAGGGCGTGGGTGGGCGCGATGCACTGCCCGTTGATATACACTGACACACAACAATCACCAAGGACCAAAGGAAATAAACCTAAACCCCGTGATATGGGTGAAGGTGGTCCGAGACAACTGAAGGGTATTTAATAGTTCGAGGGGGAAAGGAGGAGTAAGACGCCGTAGGGTAGTCTGTAGGAAGACCTAGAAAAATAAAACAAAACCTTGAAGCCTGAAACAAACACTAATGGACGCTCCAGAGTATTTATCTCCGAAAAGTTGCAAACAAAGTCGCAAACCATGGAACCGAGTATAGGTTCGGGCTCACGGGAGTAGAAGACGCTAGAAAGACTTGTTTAATTTTGTTTCACTATGTGAGCCTCACCGGAGCTAATTAAATCGATGGCGGAGATATTTCTCTCGAAGAGTCAGGCCTATTGGCAAAGCTAGGATCGGTTATAAGTCGCTAAGTCCGACGCTTTCGAACTTCTCGGGTCGCTGAGATCGTAACGTTAATTTGCTGAGATGGTGAAGTCGAAAACTTGTTTTTCTGTACGCTAATTTGTACAATTTATACTACAGGAATGACTTTGCGACCGTCCGGAGATAAATAACAAATAAACGCCGCTACCCACAGGATTGCTCAGCACTTTCCTCCGCTATACCATACACCATACGACTCTCTTGTGCTCCCACTTGCTCTTTCCAGCCCCTATAGGTCGCCTCGACGCTCCGCCACCTGACCCAAGCGGTCCCATCACTCCGTGCGACACGCCGATCACGTGCTAATTACCTCCGGCCGCTTGCTGACTGATGCTGACCTCATGGTGACTCGTATGCGTCCGTACCTTTGGTATTTTGACGGAAACGGGGGAGGAGTGAGTGCTGGAGGGTGGACATGAGGACGACACCCCTCGATAGAAGTGTCCGCGGGTCCCGGAGCTAATTCGGCTAGAAGTCGCATTGGTTAAGTCACTCCGGAGCTTCGGTTGGCGGAGATAAAACGTGGAATGGGTCCGCGTACGCCTCGAGGATGTTAGGAAGTCCGGAGCTAAATAGAAAAAGTCTTTTAGAGCCCATAGAAGCCTAGAGGCGTGCGAGCGCTGTGTCGAATAAGCTCTGGGGCGCTTGTATGATGTGCTGAGTCCGCGTTTTCGGGGCTCAGACGATCCTAAGGCTTATCACCGTACCATCACTAACAGGCACGGCGCAACCGGGACAGACGAGGCACCCTTCAGAACATGGGCACCGCGGAGGTCAGTCCTTGATCAGCAGTATCTCATCCACGTCTTCCTCTTCCTCCTCTCAGTTGATCAAGACACCCCTGATGCTGGAATTCCCAAGTGGCCTGACGCCGGCAGCGCAAGTGCTCGATGCGCTCCGGCACATGCACGACCACATCAGTAAAAAGGAAAGGGTTTGAAAAGGCTGAGCATCAGACTTTTTAGACACGTCAGACACTGCTCGACCAATCACATTGCGCGAAATCCTTTCAGTGCGTGAGACCTTTAGAACCTCAATTTGGGTTGTTCAGACCCTGTATTGATACAACCCTAGCAAGACATATTGTGCATTTTGTGTATGGGATACAATACATTATTGAATACAGAAGTAGATTACAACCAGTGGACCCAACAGTTCACCCCTGCTCAATTGCTATACCTGGATCATAAACACATTTAGACATTTAGACCTTCAGACATTCCTCTTTTTCCTGATGCAGTGCCCCTCCACCATCACAGTGTTCATCGGGCACGCACACTCGCACTCGTGCATGTCGCACGTGTCAAGCATGGGGCAGATGTACAACCTCGTGCGCGAGGTCGTCGACATGGTGTGCAAGCTGCTGACGATCGTCGAGGCGGTGATGCAGCACCCCGCGCTGCTGTCCGCGAAGCTGCGCAGCGCACACGAGGGGCTGTACAGCATGACGACGGCCCTCGCGGATGCGGTGCGCATGCTCATGAGCGCGAGCGCCATGAGTGAGGAGGAGGAGAAGGCCACTCTGCTCAGGTCGGCGACGGGCGTGCTCAAGGTGGCCACGGACTGCATCGCGGCGGTGAAACTCTTTCTGAACCGCACGGTGGTGGGCGATCACGGGCTGGTGGTGCACTTGCCCAGGCTGGGGCAGATGAGCCCCGTCGTGAGCCCGCGGGCGAAGGTGGTGTTCGAGGAGGTGAAGGGCGAGGTGAGCCCGGCAGAGATGCTCAGGCAGTGGTTCGTGGAGATGGAGGACGAGGATATGACCATCCAGGCTTTCACTGATGCAGAATGAACATGGTAATGCAGGTTGCATCCGTAACCACACCTCCTGCCATCATTGCAGCTGCATGTGCCCGTTGGTATGCCCGAGAGCTCATGGTGGACATGTGTCAGTGAGGTGTTGTTCAGTTGAGGCCAAATGTCAGGACACTGTAGATCCATATGTATACTGGACCTTTGTTAATAGATAAGAAGAATACATATTTTACTGCATCATGATACCTGCAACTCAGGTACTCCCCCAAGCATACCTTATTAGAGAACCTATTTACAAAAATAATACACCTAAGGAGGCTGTGGGCACGTGGTATGGGCTGGTGGAGGGGCATATTCTGGTGGTCCGTGGTGTGCTGCTGGATGGTCCAGCCCAAAACCTGGACACTTTATATACCTGCCCAGGCCCACACCTGGGGTCAGGGACCAGTGGTAGACCACTTAAGTTCCACCTTATATTGGCCTTAGCTGCCGGCTCATCTCCCATTTGTTTCTGTAGTATACTCTTCTGAATAAGCTGTATATTGCAAGGCAGGTCCTGAGGATGGGATATGCTGCAGTCAGTCGCCTGCTGGATGAGCCACAGTACCATTGTGGCCTTACTACTCTGGCCTTGCTAATGGGGAATTCATACCTGATATTATTAAATCTACAATTCTCAAGCTCTTTGAGCCCACTATACTCACTCAATATTAGCTGGGAGCCACTGTATTTCCCTCCAAACCTCCCTTTCCCAGTCTAATACCCCGCCCCCCCTGGAAAAAAAAAGTGATTTCTCCTTGATTTTTGTGAAATTATCCTGCTGCCACAGTACTAGTTGTTGTTCAAAATGTATGTTATACATCTACTTATAAGAACTGCTCAGTCCTACTATACATGTGGTGTCGAGACTTGACAGATCTAGTATTATTACTCTTACTGTCAGTAGTTGTCCCGTCCCCGACTTCCGCCCTCGTAGTTGGGCGCATGTGAGCTAGAGGGGGCGCACATACTGTTTCTTGGGCTGAACAGATGGGGGCTGCTTGCCTTTACCCTTGTCTGAACTGTAGAATCTCCGTAGTCAGTAGAGTTAGCTTGTATCACACACACACCAATAAACGGAACCTTGTCTTATTGCGAGAGATACAAGATAGGTAATTGAGCTAAGCAGATTCAGGGATAGTTGTTGTCTAATGATCCGCCTGCCCAATCCATCCATCTATCACTCAGTAACCAAACACGTCCAAACTTGGTGCCACTCAGTGGTGCCCACCTTACACCCTCCCCACTTAGAGCGAGACATTGTCTCCGATGACAATGGGGAGCGATATAATGGTATTATTTTTGTATGGAAATAGATTACAATATGGTCCGAGACTCAATGGTCATTTACATCGCGATTCGGGGTAGCGTCCATAGCGATGATCATCATACAATGCGATTTGGATATGCGGCGGGAGGAGTGGTCATATTACATAGTGATGCCGTGGAGTCATAACGATTCGATAGTGCGATATAAAAATTGTTAAAGTCCAAATAATAGCACAGACGCAAAACGGCGGCGACGACAGCGACGGCGACGAGGGGGGGGCACGCAGCGTCTGTACTCCCCACTTAGTCAGCAAAAGGGTCCGGTGTCGGTGCACCCTTGACTCCACACAACTTCGCGAGCTCAATGGCAGCCTCGTAGTGTCTCCCTTGGGTCCATATGCCACAGCCGGCAAGGTACTTGATGATTTGCTCCTCGTCGGTGAGGTTGCCCTCGAAGTTGGGCGACGATCTAGTCGGGGCCTTCTTGACCTTGCCCTCATCGATGGCGGCCTTGTACCGTTGTCAGACGAGAATATTGTTCGAATGCAAAATCCCGTTTCCACTCCCCGCTGAATCTATCGCCCAGATTCAATCTCTACTGCCTCTTTCAGTACAGGATCTTGGAGCAAGGACTGTATCAGGACGAAGAAGATATGAACCATGATGCGGAGCTTAATAATTGGTTAGGAGAGATGCGCGAAGCTATCTACCTTCCAATCACCTTCGAGGAAGCAAAGGAACGGTTGGAGGAGATTGCGATCGAGTTGGCGAGGAGAAGGATGCTTTTGGTATGATGGGGGAGCACTCGGAACATTTGGAGTACACTCGAACATTTGGTTCTCATGTTTTTGTGTTGCTATCGCCATGGTTATTTTTGTGGCGACATTTTGGACTCTCGTGCCTATTGTTTTTGACTCCTGCCGATTACTCAGACTGCACCCTATCTGGGATAGTTTGTCTCGTAATTTGTAGACTGCTTATTCATCCGCTGAGTCATGGTGGAGTAAGCTGAGTCAGCACAGGACATTCTTATTGTTTCTAGTCATTTTCAAGTCGTTGCTATAGTTACTTTTGTTTCTTGTTCTCTCACCCT